AAAAGCTGACGATCATAAAATTTCATTATCAATCAAAATTGATTTCAATTAAAAGTTAAATGTTTTGTGAGCAAGCCCGAATTTTTGATAATTAAACAATCAATTGTGAGCAGTTAATCTGCTTCATCTTCATGTTTTTGTGTGCATGTAATGAGCTATCATCGCCAATAAATTGCAAATTACAAGCAATCAAGATTAAGGCTCTCTTGGAAGTCATCAACGCTGCTCAAATTAAGACGTAAACGTTGTAATTTCTTTTATCACATCAACATCAACAGTGTAAGGAGGTAATGACCAAAACTATAGCAGCACATAAAAATATTTAAGACTTTAAATTCATTCGAAATTTCCTCATAGCGATTTGATTAACAGAAACCATATTTTTATTAGTGTGTATCTTTTTGCTGCTGGTTTTACTGACTTTATTTGAGAAATTTCATACCATTTGCTAATCATTCGGCATGTCATAAAAACAGCATTAATGAAAAAATATATAAAGATTATTTCGTTTATCGTAAATGTATATTACGTATCTGAAATGGCAATTAAAATCCAAACTGTGATATTGTCGAGATGCAAAGTGAAACTGGAAGGTAAGAGAAGCAAGTAAGAAAGTTATCACGGATGGATGACTTGAAATTGTTTCTACCTGGATGGTGCCATAAAATTACAGACGAATGAGAAAATTAATCCAAGGTTGAGTGTAATAAAGTCATAAATCAAGGTAGAAAGTTCTATTCGTATATTTTTTTATTATGCTTGAAAACAGAAGTGGATGAGGGATTTATGGCACATCCTTTAGTTTATGAGATATGAGATTTTATTACATTCAGCATTTTGTGACTGGAGATTGTAAAATTCTAGTTTTGTTTGATTTTTTTGACATTTAGAATTTAAATTTTAGACATTATGAGCAATGCAACTAAATGATTACTAGGTGATCTAGCCATAGACGACTGAATAGACCATATGGACCATAGACCATAGACTAAACCTGAATAACACAAGTCGACTAATTGAATTGAAATTTTGCGTCAAGTCGCCTGACTCTGGCATGGCGCTGACTCTGATTTAAATTCAGCATTATTCCAGAGTCACACTGGCACTCTTCTGATAGATTAACCGACTTGTGCCATTTGGGAAACCTTCTCTGGCTTGATTTTTGAAACTTAATTTTGCTTGTGTATAAACTTTTGGCTAAAGTGGGGATCATAAATCAATCTCAGTCCACAAAAAAGGATTTAATTGATGCAGCTCAGGCGCGTAGCCAGGAGGGCCTTTTGAACATTTTGAACCGCAGTGAGAGCACGGCCTAAAACCCTTAAGAGGGGGACAATACCCTCTTGGCTACGCGCCTGATGCAGCTTTATTTGAGAACTATCAGCAGAAGTCTTCTACATGCAGGTGTACACCAAGAAGAATAACCACCTGCGACAGGTGAACTTCACCTGCATGGCAAATTTTCATTCCATTGAATTTGCAAAAACCAGCTAGAACGCACTAAAACTCAGCATTCATTCCATATGCTACATTATTCAATACATTATTTATTATTCACTTTCCCAAAAACCCCAATATTAATCATTTCAAGTTCCATTACCCAAATAGAACACGTAAAATCTAAAACAAAAGCATGACTTTTCAATTCATAAGCCAAATTCCACTTGAAAGAAGAGTAAAAATTGCAGCAGCTACAAAAAGCAGTTAAAACATCTCAATATCAATGTGATAACATGAGATTTCAACTCATGAATAAATTAATTATGAATACAGTTTAAATTGATCACCGCTATAAACCTTGACCAAAATATCGATCTACACCTACTTCATAGCATTAGCATGAAAATTGAAAAAAAAAAATGTAAAGCATATGGAGATGTTTATTATACAAAGAAGAAAAATATACACAAAAGAGAAGATACAGATGCTGCACTTTTTGCATCCGAACAGCTATCTTGAATAAATTTAGAAACTCATCAACGCATGTGATTCACATCATCTTCATCATCATTTCTTTCCTCAGTCATAAATCATTTATTTCTATTCTATTAATTTTTTTTTTTCATTTCCAGTAAAAGCCATTATACAATTCAGCATTATTTTTCGTAATTTGCCATGTAACCTGATATGCCTGTTCGTGATTAAAAGTGGTGCAATTGTTAAATACCAACACAAATCATTAATGGCAATAAAATGAAGAAAAATTGAAGTAAAAGTAAGGTGCAATGCCGCTACAATTTCTACACTTATTGCCATTTCTGTAAAAACAGCAAGCACAGAAAGAGAGGAAAAAATATTTGAAGCACAAAAAATTGGAGCGGCTGTGGAGATAAATTATGTGATCACTAAATACTGCAAAAGTCCTTGACGTAATTCGAGTCGGAATTTTAAATTTTTTTTTTCTTCACCTCAATTACAAAGCAATAGCTAGATTGCCTTTTATGAAGTAAGAAAATAATCTATATTGTGTTATTTTTTTGGGGAGAGGCTCAATTTACTGGGCGCTGGTCTGACATTTAAATTATTTTTTCCTTAATTTTTTAATAAAAATTATACAAGTTCATTGTGAAACATATACGTTTATTTATTTTTTCTTAGCTGCTTATCGTTATGTTCCTTAATGTCTTTTTTTCTGTGCAACATAATCGCTTGAATTTTTTTTTCAATCATTAAAAAATCAGCTGAGTTGAAATAGTCATCACGAAATTATGATTCATTTGATTGTTTTCTGCGTTTTCTTGTGGCAGTCTTTTGAGGCGTTTAAGGTCATTTGAATGGAGTGAGATCCAAAAGAATATTTAAGGTGTAACAAAAAATTTGCTTGATTTGTGAGGAATTGTTCATTTTTGACGTCTGAGATTTAGGGAGTGGGGGGGGGGGGGGGGGGAGAGGGGGTCTCGGATTTTGTGAGAACTCAAACAAAGGAAATTTTTTTCCAAATAAATTTTGTGACATGGAGGAGAAGTTCTAAAAATCAGGTTTCTTGACGGACGGTATAAGCGACTCTATACAGATTTTTTGTTCTTTATTTGGGATTCGCACCCTTTTCTTTAAGCACAAATTAAATGCCAAAAATTTTATATCTTGGTTATTCATTCTAATATGTCATTAATGAATTGTTCAGAATTTAAGTACTTGTAATTATGATAATGAAGCGTGTGTTGGCATAACAAGGTTGATTAAAGTAGAGCCGCATAATATCAGGATACCTGTAGAAGCTAAAATTAATAAAATCTTTAAGTCTCATTTTGGAAGGAAGCTGTTGACAGAGATAGCATTTAGTATTGGCGTTTGGAAGAGAGTAGCCAGCGACAGAGTCTTTTCAGATGCCATCTAATGAAGGATATGGATCACAATGGATCTGGAAAGCCAGCGATGTTTGTATGTATTGTTTTTATTATTTTACACGGGTATAGCTAGATCTACCAAAAGGACTACAAATTTCTTGGTTCAAATCAAGGTCACTGTAATAGACCTGCACTCTCCAATTCAACTGAAGCAATTTGTTATACCAAGTTTTAAAAACTTTAAACCTTTTATTATTACCAAAACCTATAAAAATTCTTAAAATTCCCTGCATATCAATCATCAATAAAATCATCATAAAACAGCCTAAAAGCAACCAAGTAGTCGCTATCAAAATATTATGATTGCACTATAAATGTACCATCATATGACATGACTCATTTCTTTAATGAGCAAACCATTAGTGACGATTATAGATAAAGAAACATTTATTCAAACGACAAAAAACAATTAAGTGTCATGTCATTAAATCCCATCGTCACATATGCTTGTATATCTACATCACTATAAGTGCCACCAAAAAAATTATTATTATGTGTATAAAACTACAACTGATGTGAGATAGATGTTGAGTAGGAAAAACAATGGAATTAAGAAAAAATGAAAGAGCTTTCTTTATTATATTCCTGCCGTGACATCACTTGAATGCTTGATATGATCGACGGTACAAGAAAACGAACATAAATGAGCATAAAAAGAAAACAAAAACTAAAATCGGCGAAACGAAAAATAATAATAACAAAGAAAATAAAAAATTATTAAATATTTTTGACATGTTTACAGTTACCGTGATCGCATACGTATGGTTGATATTTGGTTGATATACAGGGCTACAATAATATATAATGTAATGAAAAGAATGAAGAAATGAGGCAGTAAACGTATATGGTGATAGAAAAGCAAGTTCTTTGTAATTGTTTATAGGAAATTATAAATATAGAAATGGAATAATTACTCGAAAGTTGGATGAAGCAGGTGTTGTGAACGCATTTTTCGTGGAATGTGTTAAGGTTTCTGTGAAGAAGTATAAATGAAGTCAAGAAAAATGTTAAACTTCCTTCCCTGGACCTCTTTTTAACCTCATTAGCTCCAATTTTGTTTCTATGTTGAAGGATCAAGCAATTCATTTATTAAAGGATGCATGCATTTAGGAAGATGAAGGAAGTGTTTATAAGTCTTGCAAAAAGTATATCCATGCTGGTCATTGGAGTAGCCAAGAGAAGGTTAAGGCTTGGAACCTCTATAAAAATAGAAAACACCAAAAAACTCATAACAATTCCAAAACAGCTCATTTATTATTTTCTCAAAGCATTTAACCCCATAAAAATAATTTAATGAGCCTCAAGTGATAACAGTAAAGACAACTCAATGTCAAAAAACAATTAAATTGACAAATATAATTTCATTATCGTCACAATTCATCGCATATTATTATTCTATTAAATCAAAAAATTCCATTAGATTATTTTTTAATCATCGCCTAAAGCAGGGAGCATGCTGAGAGTCAAAAGATTAATCAAAAATGTGGGCTATCACATCGAGGAATTTAAAAAAATTGAAAAAAATTTCAAAATTATTTGTTCATTCGAGTTTACGCGTTGAAATCGGGAGGAAGTGAAATTTTTGTTTTTGGGAATTTTTGATAAGATTAAAAGATTCTAAAGATTTAAATTCAAATTCTCAATAGATTAGCAATGAAGCTAATAATTCAAATAATAATCATTTGCAAAATATTAACTCAATATCAAGCAGATTGTGGTACAGCACATTGTGCTTATAAATTTGCAGTATCCAAAGATTATATTTGTACAATTACTTTATTTCCATCTGATGATGAAATCAACAACAAAACTATTCTTGAAAGTTATGACGTTATAGCTGGAGATCATAAAGGTGGTTCAGATGATTTAGTGACAGGTTTGGGAGGCTCAGGAACAGATGCACGAATATTTCCAGGAACTATATGCAAAAAGTTTAAGAATTTAAAGAAAATAATCCTCGCTTATTCGGATATACAAAAGTTAACAGAGAAAAGTTTTAGAGATTGTGCAAACTTAGATACACTCAGTTTTGTTGACACAGCTATCAAATGGATTGGACAAGACACATTCAAAAATATAGCAAAATTAGAAAAATTAACAATCGGATCATCACAACTAAGTTACATTTCTGAAATTTTGCTTAAAAACAATCAAAATTTGAAGGAACTAAGACTCAGTTCCAATCAATTAAGCTTGTTTAATGAAAAAGTTTTGGAAAATCAGCAAAATTTGAAAACTTTAGTTTTGTCTTACAACAAAATTGCAGGATTTCCAAAATTCTTCTTCAAGTCACTTAAAAACTTGGAAACTTTGGACGTTCAAAATAATTTAATCGCAAATATCTCTGCTGTCTGGTTTGTAACGTTAATAAACTTAAAGGAGCTTGACTTAAGCAACAATTTGATTGAAGATTTACCAAAAAGTGTTTTGTTAAAACAAGAAAAATTAGAAAAGCTGAATTTGGACTCGAATTTGATACAATTTATTCATTATGATTCATTCTTAGTCTTACCAAATATTATTAGACTCTCGAAAAATCAAATTGAAGGAATAGATGAGAACTTTATTAGAAAATTAATTGTTACGGAAAAATCAGTTCTGCTGATAGGAAATAAATGCACTGAAGACAGCCAAATTACTGAAGAAGATGGACAAGATGAAGTAATAAATCCAATAGATGAAGATTTTCTTATGGAAATTGAATCTTGTTTCTACTCGTACATACCACGAAGTGAAAATTATCAAAAAGGTTGGTAATGATAAAAAATATTTAAACTTTAAGGAACTGAATAAGCTATCGAATTTTTGAGAAGGCGATGGTATTGCTCTATCAGTAGTAACACCATGATTTTAGGTTATTGGTTAATTTTTAAAATTCTAATTCTTTTCAGATCAGTACATTTCGGACATTTACGAGAAATTAAACTATCTTACTCAAAAAATTGAACGCTTTTCTGATTTTTTTCGACTGTGACATTTGAAAAATCTTCGATTTTTACTCAAATGAAATTGTGATTTACTTTTAATATATTTTAAAAAATAAAATGAGCAAAACTGTGTCTTAATCTAACTTGTTTATTCAAAATTTTAATCATCGACTATTGCAGTGATGTCCAAACTGTGTGCCACGGCACACTGCTGTGCCGTAGAATTTTTTTGAAACTGACACGAGTCGCATGCTGTGTGCGACTTCGGTCATGGCTTACCCCTCAGGTGTGCCGTAGCTCAAAAAGTTTGGACAACACTGGCCTATTGAGTGTAAAGGTTGAAAAGCTGGGCTGCAGTTGAAAATGATTTAATAGCACCAATTATCTATAAACTAAAACTAAGTACGCCTCTGATTGGAAGTTTAATTCAAAAATCTTATCAATTTAATAAGAAGCTTTAAACTTGAAGATTATTCATTAGTGATTTTGCTTCCGATGTGATCAAATCGTTTAATCTGGAGAGCATAAAAATTAACAAATCTCAAAGTTCTCATCGAAAATCAGCAATGAAGATACTTCTAAGTTTAGTGCTATTTTTGACAATATTTACAAACTATGAATCAAGTTGTGAAAAAGCTAGTTGTAGCTATAGAATGGTTCAATCAAAATACTACAGCTGCTTTTTAGAAGTCATACCTTCTAGCGATGAATCTTACAGCAATTCAATGTTGCAAAAATACACTGAGCTATCTGGAGATCATAATGGAGGTTCTGATGATTCTGTAGAACTTTTAGTAGACAACGAAGTTAATTCCTACATTTTTCCAACAATTGTATGTGAAAAGTTCAAAAATTTGAAATACTTTTATCTTCATTATTCACCAATTACGAGATTAACGGGAACTTGTTTAGATAAGTGTGAAAATTTAGAAATGATTAACATTTTGGGAACTGATATCAGACGAATTGAACATGATTCGTTTAAAAGCTTATCAAAATTGAAGGAACTGACAATAACTAGAACAAAAATACAAAATATTCCGGAGAGCTTGCTTGTCAATAATTTAAATTTGACAGAGATTCATATAAGTGGCAATAAATTGACTTATTTAAAAGAAAATGTTTTCAAGAATCAAATAAATCTGAAAGTTCTGAGTCTACCCAACAACAAGATTGAAGGATTTCCAAAATTATTTTTCAATTCACTGATAAATCTAGAAAGTTTGAACTTGATGGATAACAAAATTGCGAACTTATCGTCAATATGGTTTGAAACTTTAGTAAACTTAAAGCAGCTTCATTTGAGTGGAAATTTGATTGTAGACTTGCCAAAAAGTATGTTTTCAAAGCAACTGAAATTGGAAAAGCTTGACTTATCAAACAATTTAATCAAATTCATTCATGATGACTCTTTGGGAACTTTACCAAATGCTATCAACTTACAGAGAAACAAAATCAAAGGAATTGATGAAATGTTCATTTTAAATCTAATGAATGCAAACAAAACTGTCGCAATGGCTTCCAATCCATGCACAAAAGATAGTGAAAATTTGTCAGAAAAGGAAATTGATTACGATATATCGCCAAGTCAGCTAGATGCAGAGTTCTGGAATGAAATTGACGAATGCTTGGATTCTTATGTTCCACGAAATGAAAACTTTTGTGAATTTTAGCAAATTTTAATAAAATTAAATTTTTTTCGAAACTATTTCTTCTCCTCATTTTCATTAAGGCACAGCTTTTAGGTTATTAATTATCAACCAGCACGAATTAAATCCTGCCAACAAACATCCAAATATTTAGACTTATCGATCAAGCATCTCAAAAACCACAATCACCTCAGTCATTTTGCCATAACACAATTAATCACACATTTTCTCCAATAAAGCAAGTCAAAGCGAATAAAATCATTCTCGTATTGCACGGAAATATTTTCAATGAGGCATTCAAGGCCAAACAAGTTAAATCAATGTTCTGAATACCCCTCTCAAGTGAGTGACGGAGCTGAAAGCGGAGTTGTTTCTCCTTTTACATGCCAAAGTAATTAAATATTTAAATATTTAATTCACAATAAGTGTTGAAGCATGGTCATTTTTAATGATAGACGTTGTACGACTTTAGAATAAAGAATTGTTCAACTAGAAGGTAAGAAAATTGTAGAAACACACAAAGTAAAATTAAATTTCACTTGCAAATATCATCAGTTCATCACGCGAACCTGTTTCGAGCAACTGACTTCGATTCGCTTGATGATTCACGTTTAAGAACTGCAGATTACAGTCAAAGAAGATGAAAAACAGCAAAACAGAGAAGAAGAAAATCTAATAAAAATATTTTTATTCCATCAAGCATCAAAAAGTAGTTTTTATGATGTCGATGACGTAACTTAAATATAGAATTCTACAAGATGATGTTCGCAAATACGTTTTACGTGAAGTGAATCATGCAGCAAAATGCGCAAAAATAAAACCGAACGATTCATCGATTTGACATGTGAATTGAAAAAAAAACCTTGAACTTATAGTTCGTGTTCTATCTTGTGCAGTCGATGCATTTGAGAGTGAAAAAAAAAATAGACACTTAATTTTCCACAAGCAGCGCAAATTCATTAGCAAGATTAATTGCTGTATTGTAAAAATAGTATCGAAGGAAAGATTGAGGTCTCATGCGAACAAATACTCGATATGTCTAATTAGAGATGAAAATAAATGTTCTATTTATTTTGTGGTGATTTATTGATGACAAATGAAAAAAAAATAATTAAAGCCAAAGAAAAAGCATGCCAACTATCGCTTACATTGTGCATTCCACTGAGGATTAAATGAAGCACTTTATGTGTCCCTTTCGAATCAGTTGTAACTTTCATCCAATTATGTAAATTTTTTACATTTTATTTTCTTGCAATTTATTTTTTTTTTCGTGTTCTCTTTTAAGGTAAGCGCATTCAACCTGAATCACATATTTATTCTCATTATGGTAGCGCTTTACTGCATTTAAGGCAAAGAAAAATTAGTTCAGTTGTTCATTTTGTCTTGATGAATATGTAAGGCATGATGAAAGTTATTGATAAGATTTGTGGTTTTCGATAATGAATTCGGAACATAAGCATGGCTATTAAGGTTGAATATATGTTTTGCTGGTTTTTTGCTACTTTTTTAAGCAAAACTTGGTGCAAATTCTTTGTGGTATTAACATATTTTGGTAGTTTTTGCAGAATTACTTTTTGAGGTGAGGAAATTTAGGGGAGAATCAGCTTAACATAATTTGAATTTCAAATGTTTTCAATGTATTCTTAATACAGTTTTATTTAAATGATTTACTACTTCTGTTATGTTTTGAAGTCCCTTAATAACATTTTGATGTATAAATCATAGCTTAAATATGAATTTTATTAGAAAAACTATTTTAAGCCAGGGGAAAATCAACCTATCTGATCAGCTGTTTTAAAAATCAGCTCAAGCAAATGCGCTTTCTCGAGTTTCACCAATAACTAATTTCCATACGGAATTCTACATAATTTTTGACACAAATGCAACATAAATGGCATCGCATTTACAAAGTAGTAACAAAAATCGTTAAACATTAAGCATTCATCACACGAAATTGGAACGTACAGAAGAAAAAAAATGAATACATAAAAAGAAATCGGGAGCATGTTGATGTGGATGACATTAAAAGAATTGCCAAAAAAAATATATTTATATATATAGGCATGAAAATGTAAACTGTCATTAAGGCATCAACTACTCATCTTCTTCCGCTCACTCGAATCCATCAAACAAATGTATGTTAATGTATCGAGCTGTAAAAAGTAGGTAGAAAAATGCCAAAACGAGTCGTATATATCACGATGCTTGGAGATGATGAAATTCTGATTGCGTAACAAATTAAAAAATTCGCAATTAAGATCAACATAAAGTAAGAAGATCAAACTAGACAGTTCAGTTATAATGGCTTAAGACAAAGTTGTTTGTCATGCAAATATTGTAGGAACCATACATACAAAAAAAAGAGCCAGATAAAAATTAAGCAAATGCATGACGATCATAAAATTGTTTAATTTTTCCCCTCTCCGAGAGACTAGCCATAAAGATTGTTGATCTTTCAACCAATTAAGAATGATGAATGGAAATAAGCGGATGGATTATGATACGGGATATATATAAAAATTTAATCTCATGTCTATCTCTTTCTCATGACAATTTTTACAATATTAAGTAGCCCGAGCAGTTTGTATCAGCCTTGGATACACCTTATAGTCAATTGCCTTATAAGAATTGACTTTGTGTCGCTCGGAAACTTCTTTTTCTCATCTTTCAATTTCTTTAGTTTGTTTTTTCGGTCATAAAGTAATTAAAAAACATGAAAGCTCACCATTTCTCGTCTCAAAATTGCCAATTGAGTGTCTAATGTTGAGTCTGACGTACGATTATCTGATGTCGTTAGATTAACTTGTCTCTGTTGTGATCTTTGTAATTGATTTTGTTGCTGACTGATTTCTATTCCACTAAGACTTTTCGGTAATGGAGGTAATCCGGGAAGTGACATATTAATGCTAGAATACACAAAAGAAACGAAAAGAGTTAATTAAATTTGAGCTTAATCAATATCGAAATGTTTGTTTTATTAGCACTTTTAATTGAAATGTAAATTAAGAAGTCTTGCAGATTTTATTTGAGTGATTCATTTAAAGCTTAGTTCATCATTGATTTAAATGTGAGAACTTACTTTGCTATATTTTCAAGAAAACACTGAATACTTTGATGAATCAAATAGAGAAAAGTCTTAATTTGAAGTAACTTGCATGGGGGGGGGAGGTGGGTTTAAAATGGAATCGATGTTTTCAAGTGCTTGGTCAGGAGATTTGGGGGAGAACTGATCCCCCTTTGTCTACAGAATATTTTATATTTCACTAGGATTTTAAAAACACCACGAACCCCCTTAAATTTTTCCCTACAAAAAATATTTTTATACCCCCCTCCTTAAAATAATTTGATACGCTACCGGATGTTCACTTGCTCTAAATAACGCCATATTTTCATGTAGCAACAGGAACGTAGTCAGGAATTTGAAGAGGGGGGACAAAAAACTTTTATTTGTATGGAAAACTTTAGGGGGAGGGGGGTATTTTTTTCAAGTTTTTCATAAAAAACTCAAGCAAAATGAAGAAATTTCTCAAGACGAAGGGGAATTTGTCCTTCAAATTTACCCCCTGGCTACGCGCCTATACAGCAATGTACTCATTTTACGAAATACTTTCCCTTACCTCCCCCCCTCCCCCTTAAAAAATATTCAATTTTGAAAAACCCGTTAAAAACTTAAAATCAATAACTGATGTGAAATTTAATTATTAATTTCTCCAATAATTAAGCATGTTACAGCTTATGATTTTAATCACTCTATCTATCAATTATAAACTGACTGTTCAGACTTTTCATTCAACAATCAGAAAGAGCAATAGATGAAAGATTAGGCAGAGAAAATCAGCATATAAAATGTTAATGTTTTCATAGATTAAATATTCAGCATTTCCTACTTTTTTCAATGCCTTAAAAACTCATTTAAATAGAAATTCTTACCGATTTTGCATGTCTTTACAGCTATCCCAAGAATCTCCAACGCCGGATGAGGAACAATCATCAGCTTTTTCCTCATCTTCAACACCACTGTCTTCGAGACTAATCAGACATGTTGTATTACCATTTCTATTAATTTTAACATCATCTCTCATTTCCATTATTGTCATCTGTTTATTACCACTCGGCGATAAATCCGAGCATGATTTTGCCAAACTCAATCGATGATTATGGTGATGATTATTTGTGTCATTTCCGGCTCTACGCATTTCAGATAATTCTGAAATGAGCATTTCATGAAACATCACTTTCCTGTCTTTCAACTTTTCATCATGCGGCAACTTTTCAGTGATAGAATTGCGGTCATTGAGTACATCAACTGAAGATGATCGTTTCAAGTTACATCCATTGCCATTATAACGTATATGTACATTTGACGCTTCCACAAGACGCCCACTAAAAATTTCATTCAACAGCTTTTCCTTCAACTCATCATCACGACTCGCTACATCATTATTGTTGATGTTATTTTGATCAATTTTACCGCTTTGTTTAATATTCAATTCACATTTTACTGGTGCTGTATTTTGGTTTTGCATCAATAACCTTGTATAATTGTTATTATTCTGTTGATGTTGTTGATGTTCCGTTGTAGATAAATTTTGATGTTTTATGTTCACAATATGATCGCGATTTGGCAACAGTGGTGGTGTCTTGAGACGTGGCCTAGGCATGGGCGATTTATGATGAGTGATTGGATGCTGATGAAATTCCTTATTTATTGAATCATTTCCTATGTTATTCATTTTTGCGGGTGCGATAATTGGAGACTCATGTACACGTGCTGTGTTGCCATTTTGCCTTACAGCCGCTGGTATTGTTGTTGTTGTAACAATCACCTTCAAACCGGTTGATGATTCATTGAATTTGGTGTCAAAACATTTATTTTCACAAATGCTCGAGTGCTGTTGTTGCTGTTGTGGCTGTTTCTGTTGATGGTCTATGTGTTGTTGACCATTCATATTATTATTAATTTTTGATGTATAAATAACTGTTCTGCCTTTTGCTATGGGCACGGCTGGCTGTGGGAAATTGTGAGGCACATTTCGTGACTTTTCGAGTGCTTTTTGGACAGTTGACATTGGAGGACGTGGTGGTACTGGTGGTCCAACCTTTCTGCTTGATGATAAAATACTTTTAAGTTTTTCCATTTTTTGAGGTTAAATTTTTTGATTCTTGTTGATTTTTTTGGAGAGATTTTTTTAACAGTTTTGTAGAAATATTTGGAGACTTTTTTAAACTTTGTTCAGAATTTCAACTGATTTGTAGAATTTAAACACTTTTTTGTAGAATTAGTGTGAAATGTTTGTAGACTTTTTGGTGCTTTTGTTTAATTGGGAAAGACTATTTTCTATGGTATGTGGAGTTTCTTGAATTTGTAGACTTTTGTAGAGTTTTTCAAATTTTTATTGTGATATTTTTTTAATTTTTTTTGTCAAATTAATTCAGTTTTGTAGACTTTTAATAACTTTTGGAGAATTCACTCCAACTTTGTAGATTTTTTAATCTTTAATATTTTTATTCACTTAATTTGTCACGCCGAATTATTCGTTGATTTTTATCAACAATTTCACAATTATCGTAAACTTTTATATCAACTTCTATGAGCATCAAATCACACAACTCTACTCACACTACAATATTTCCAAGAACGTCATCTATGACAATCCTCTCTGACTACTGTAATTAGATAATGAGAATTTCACATGATCATCATCACAGCATGTTGTTGCGATATTAATGCACAAATAGCAATGATTTTATAAATTACAAAAAATTTCCGAAACACACAAAAATTAATTTTTTTTAATAAACTTTTCTCACGCAAAACTCTAAACACTGAACCTTATTTTCTTGTTAATTCCACAGAATTGGATAGTATAATAGACGAAAATTAAATTTTTGTTGATTTGCGTTTTATTGAAGCGAGAAAAAAACACACAAATTGACGAGATTTATGACTATTCGTGTGCTGTGCTACTGCCTTCCCCGTCTCTATATTGTATAATCTTGCAATGCAGGGGGAATATTGAGATTTTAATTTTAATTACTAACTTTCTTTCATGTCTTTAAAGTTTTTCATCTTCACACACGGAAAATTTTTCTCATTTCACTATTTTGTGTCACATTTTCCCGGGTTTTGAATTCTTAAAAGAAATTCTCGACACACGCGTGAAATCATCCAATTAAGTTTATTATGGAGTTCATTGGATGTTCTTGTTAATTTTAGTGTCTAAATATTTCACTTTTTTTCACATCTACACACAGCACGCATTCAACAGCGGAAATTTCTTGCATGCGAAACTTTATAAAAATCCATTTAATTACAAAATTTGCATATTTCACATGAACTTTTCCACCAACGGCGCAAAATAATTTTCGCTTAATTTTTATTATTATTATTGCAAATCTAACAAAGAAAAAAAAACGGCGTACCGAGAAAAAAAAAACCAGCAACGATTTGAACCTGTCGAAAGTCAAACGATGACTGAATGTGTGCATAAAAAATTCATAAGACGGCATGACTGCAACATGAATACATGGAAAGAAAATGTCTATGTGTTGAGTGTCTACATGCTGCAAAAACATCAACACAGTCACAAGTGATCACGAACCATAGAATTTTTCCATTGCTGAAGGCCTTGCTTAATATACAGACATAAGAATCGACGGTCTATTGAAATTATAAACAATAACATTCGTTTGGAATGTCCATTGGGTCAGGCATTTACTTTAGATTCAATTAAAAATCATCACGCATGGCTGAGTAAGTTCGGTGGACAGTATAATATAATTTTTTTTCAGGGAATTACAACATGTGACTCATTGCGAATTTTTACTTTACTTTTTTTGCGTTCGTCGGTGTTGTTATCGCAGATGTAAATGAATAAATATTAATAAATTTTGTTGGCAGAATAAAATTGCAAGTTGATAAGGTTCTATTGTTGAATGAGGCGCATTTTTTGGGTATTTGCTACCAATTCTGATCATTGACTCATTTTTATCTTTGTGTATCACTGACTCGTGTATTGAATGAATAACTAATGCGATAGGTGTCATTGTCTGTAGTTTTCGAAGAAATTATGGATAATTCTTAAGAAATTGTTATGCAGCTTGGGGGGTCATGAACATTATGAATGTAAGTAATTCATGATTCATGTGCATCATTTGATTGATATGAATTTTAGTAAATTCCCGTTGATTTGATTCATTTATTGATTCAAGAGTTTTCAAACGTTTTTTTGGAATAAAAAATACTTGGAGGGGTCGTAGAACATAATTTGAGAAACACTAATTAATATTATTTATGCATACATCGCTGGCTTTACTGATCAATTGTGATCCATAGCCTCCCCTAATTGGCGTCTCAAAAAGACTCTGTCACTGGCTACACTCTGCTAATTGCCAATACCAAATGCTATGCTATCTCTGTCAACAGCTTCCTTCCAGACATCTTTGGTCGTCCACGCAGTCTCTTTCCATCTCCAAAATGAGACTATGAAATTATAAGATTTGGCATTAAAGTCACATTTTATGTGATTATTAAAGTGCATGTTAGTCATCCTATTTTGGGTTTTCTCATTTGCTCAGAAACAGGCTTTCAATAATTGGCATTGACAGTGGATTATCAAATTTAGTATGCTGCTTAACACTTTCGATCAAACTCATGAACCAAGGATCATAGACTACCACAAATCCAAGGGCTTCAGCCTTTTCATCAGACCTATTTACATTAGCTTAATTTTGCTTCAATTTCAGTGAACTCTTACCAATCAACTCTACAAAACAGAAGTTATTACCAGAGGGCGAAGTCGACTCGAATTTTGTATGGAAAAGTCGACTTGAGTTCACTCGACTTCATACAAATTTCGAGTCGACTTCGCCCTCTGGTTATTACTTAAGAATTAATTTTAATTTCAATTCCAAAGCAATAACAGCTCATGCATGCGGGCTCTGCACCAAAATAATGTGTTTTCAAATATTTTTTTGACATAGGTCGTTAAGTATGACTTGTCAAATTTTACGAAACATGTAGTTTAGACCAGTTTCGATTTGCTTCAACAATTACCATAAGTTAAATTTTTTTTTTGCGACATCATGTTGATGGACTTGCTCACATTTTACAATAATCAGCTTTTTGTGTAAACACCGCAAGTAACCGTTTTTTTTTGCACCATTCAATTTCATTTGAAATAAATGCTTAGTAATGTCTTAGATCAAAATAACTGAACTTGACTTTACCAAAAAGTAAACATTCACAGCCTTCAAAACTTCAATGGAATTTTTATTTCACAAAAAAAGATATTAGACATAGGAAAGAATTGTAGTTGTAACTCCTCATTTCCGACATGGCCCTCAAAAATATAGAGCATAATATGCAGCTTATCATTGTTCCGTAAAAAAAGGGCAGTTGTTCAAACAAAGTACTTGTAAATAAACGACAATAATGATAAGGAATTTCCTCGATAGCAGCACTCACGAGGCATAGCATATGCTTTATTGAATGTTGAAATGCAAATTGTTTTATTCATTTTTACTGAATGAAATATTGTCAGTTACAGCACGAACAATAATGTTTGCTAAAATTCATTATTTTTGTGATTGTTCATTTATGACGACTGATGGTGAAGTTAGGGTCTACGGCTTCATGATTAATGGAAGCACATTATTTATTCAATGAAAGATCTAGCAGACGTAATTCATGAACTCCCCCTTATCCAGTTTTATCGATCGAAATTGCACAATTTCGGGATTTTGCTGTTTAAAAAAAAACTTTCTAAAACAATTCGCTCATCATGATTTTTTTTTACGGTGCACCATTTTTGGGATGGATTAACTAAAATGGTTTTCACCGGCTTAATAAAAAAATTGTTGTTATTGCATTATGCGATTTAAGTGCTGTCCAATCATGAAAGGAAAAATATTCGCGCAACTGAAAACGGCATTAGCTAATAGTTTGTAATTATACTAAAACGGTTATTTAATCAACAACCGCCGGACCACGAAAAACAAGCAACAATATTTTTCTCAATAAAAAAAATAGTATGCTGCATGCAGGAAATGTGAGAGTAAACGATACCACGTAAAATCAATTCATAACTATATAATTTCATGATTATTTTTAGAAGAATTTGCAAAAACAACGAAAATAAATATGTCTAGGAGGCACATATGTGATCTCCTCTGCCTTCTCGCATTCTTGTATTTTTTTGCTCTCTCTCATTTTTTTCGTGTAAAAATATACAAAATAAAAACATTCCCAGACATTTGATGATGGTTATTGGCACCGCAACTGAATTTTCTTATTCATTAGAATCTGTTTTGTGTATCTCAATCAGGGTCATATCAATTTAAAATGATTTGAACTCAATTAATACACATTTTGATTATGTTAATATTCACATTTTCATATTTTTTTGTAGTTCAAGTTTCTTACAATTTTAATCTAATTATTAACTGAAAGGAAAATGCTTAGACATGGTGTGAAACTGTAACTATGAATGATGTTTTGACACGATATTTTGACAGTGTATGGGGGTTTGTGTTCAGTTTGTCTCTAATTGGAACTGAAATGGTTGAAAAATTTGTTATTGCTTGAATAATCAAATGTTTTGAAGCCTGTGAATGCTGACGTTTGATTTTTGCCACTTTTTTGAGTAACGTCTCACCAAACTTGAGTTGATTAATCATTTCTGGAGTTCAGAAATGATGAAAAACTTTTCGAGGTGGAAAAAAAATGGCTGTCAAATTTTTCAAATGTCAGAAAACCGTTAAAACTAATATTGGACTATTCTGCTAGAAGAAGACTAAAATCGATATTTTCAATTCAGAAGAGCTTGCTATAAACCGAGGATAGTTACCAAGTATTGCAAAGTCCCAATCAATAAGATAATTGTCAATCTTTAAGATATAATAAAATACAAGACAACGTTTAATCCATCAACATGTCACGACTACCTACTTGCCAGTATATTTTATTAAATTTCAACCTGAGTCTTAAAACCATTAATTAAAGTATGGAATTTGACCTTTACAATAGTGTTATGACTTAATGTGGTTACAAATCAACAGATATACTTACATGACTCTTTATGCAAATCGATGTTGTCAAGAAATTAGCCTCAAAAACTGTATTTTTTTTAGGAAAGCA